TCATGATTCCTTTGAAAAAGCAGAACTCAGTATTTTAGAGCAGCTTAATGTCAGTCCACAGATCTCTAAATATAATTTGGAACTAACATATGAAAACTTTAAGTCAGAAGAAATCTTGAGAGCTGTGCTTCCTGAAGGTCAGGATGTAACTTCAGGATTTAGCAGAGTTGGACATATTGCACACCTGAACCTTCGAGATCATCAACTGCCTTTCAAACAGTTAATTGGTACGTGTGTCATAGTAATATTCATGTATTTGAAGGGAATTTGCAAATTGTTAATTTTAGCTTTAAAAATTATTTTTTTTAACGCCAAGTTACAGAGGCAGAACATTTTGTCATGTTAACTTTAAGCTAGATCTTGAGCTATATACCCTCTTTTAAGGGCCATTTTGGAATATCTTCTTTAGAATCATAGCAGGTTCCAAATATTGGTCCAGGCTTTTGTGTACACCAATACATCAGTGTAGATTATACTTGAATCACATGCTTTGGCAGCTACATTGAGGAGAGATCTTTTTGGTACACAAGACTTGTTAGGCCTTCAGGGCTATGTTAAATACTAGGTTTCATAAATTTGGGTACTTTATAGTCAAAAGTGCAAGATGTTTACTTATGCTTTCATTGATTCAACCAATTGAGCCTCTACAATATGTCAAGCACCATACTGTCCTGTTACACATTTCTTTTGTTTTTATTGATGAAGGGAGTAATAATGGATAGTGGTAACATAAATACTTAAACAGATCCTTGTAACTGTGACTGGGTACAAATATCAAGTCTAGGCTTTCCTATGAGGCACTGCCTACCCTAACTCAAACATTCCTCTGGCATTCCCATTTTATAAGCTTTCTTTCATAGAGGCACTCATATATTAAAAGTGAAACATTTTCATACAGTAGTAATTTTAAAGCTTTTACTATAGACCTTCAGATTAGTTTTTAAAAATTTATAAATTTCATTCCTCATTTCAAACTAAATTACATACCTTAAAAGTTGAGTTCAGATACATGAAGCAGACAGGGTAAGAACAATGATTAATTTGTTTATTGATACTATATTAAAAAACAAGTATCTGATTATCAGAAATTGGACAAATGATGGTTGTATTTCAGGATATTGTATAATTGGGTACTGTGTGCTGATTTACAAGTCAAGTTATGCAATGAAATAGCATATAGATTTTTATAAGTTTTTTAAAGTGCTAACTAAAAAAATAGATTCATCAAAAGGCCATGAGTATGCCAGTTCTGTAGCTTTTCTGCTCTGAAGTAAATGAACATTTAATTTAGATAGGACTCTAAAGAATCTTCTTTTTTTTTTTTTTTTTGGGAAACATTGTTTTGCTGGCATGTATTTCTAAAGTGGGGGCATTTGTTCCAAAGCCACAGTAAAACAGACATTTGGCTTGAGGCCAGTGGAACCGGCAGATGTTTTACTGTTTTCTGAGTCCATTTGTTGCCAGGGTTCTTTACATCTCTTTCCATTCTTTCCCAATTCCCTGTGATCTACCTTTTTGGTTCCTTGTTTATTGGCTCATTTGAAAAGATTCAGTGAAACATGGAAAAAACATTAGGTAGACCCAAACTCCTCAAAATGTTTTCTTTAAAATGTACCCAACATTTTGTGTGTGTGTGTATTGGCGACTGTCAGACATTAACTTTAGTCATCTGTTGAGTTTTTTAAATTGCATGCCACATTACACACAGTAGGTGCACTCTTTATCAACCTATCAACCAAAAGAAATACAACTCATTTCTGTTTCATATTAACAATTTTAGCTTTTATTTTGCAACCAATAGGCAGTTTATGGATTTTCATTTTTTCTTTTAGGCCAGGTTATGATTGACAAAAATCCAGGAATCACCTCAGCAGTAAATAAAATAAATAATATTGACAATATGTACCGAAATTTCCATATGGAAGTGCTATCTGGAGAGCAGAACATGATGACAAAGGTATATTTTATTATCTCCAAGTAAGATGTATATCAATATAATGTTTAGAATCAGAATAGATGACAAAGATTTAAAATACTTATAACAGCCAGTGTTGATGAGTATGTGAGAATGTGATCACTTATATATGCTATTGATGGAATAACATTGATAAACCCTTTTCAGCAGAATTGGTTAAATTCTCATACAGTGATACGATGGAATATTTCCATCTAAAGTTTTTTTAGCTGCATATTTGTTAAAATAAGTTGTCCATTGATGATAGGTTGACAATGGACAATTCCCAGAAAGCAATATAAGTGATAAAAAGTAAGTTATAGAACAGTATGTATAAAATAGTTCTCGAAATATATTTAAATCTTCTAGGTTATACCCAGAAAGACTTTTAGTTGGCAGAAATCTGCAGAAACATTTCCACCTCTGTAACCTTAATAATTTGGCCAGAAGCATCTGATATGGTTGGGAGGAGGAAAAAAAAAAATACATAAAAATTGGGAATTAAGGTCCTGGAAAGCAAAAGATGGAAGATGTATCTATTAGATTTATAGAACTTAGGAACTTTCTGGCCTTTGGTTCTTCATCCATATATTAATGAGTTTAAGATGATGGCTGAGGTCATACTCCATGACGGTAACTTAAGTTTTATTTTCTGTTTTATAAGGTGTCTACTACAATAAACCCAAAAGAAATGTTAAAAAGTCTTTTGTTCAAGAATTAGCTTCACTGTATATATTTAGTTTACCCACGAAAACCCAAATTTGGGAAAGAGAATCTGGGAATGATTCATTCTATACACTGACTCTAATTTATAGACATAAAATTTGCAAAGTTCAAGTAGCTGTCTAAAAACATAGTAAAATACCTCAAAATTCAGTGACACATCTACCATGGCTCCCTTTTATAAACACAAAACTAAATAAGGAGGGAAGCTTGTTTACTGCATAGAAGTACTGTCTGCAACTTGGCTACCCACCATGAAGATATGGGTGGTGTGTTGTTTCAAAATTTTAGGTCTTGTCTATCTGGTGACATAAGAGTATAATTAAGCCAGTTAATTGGCCTGTCTGAAAAATTCCTCATGTGATATGGTAACTACTTTATGGCCATGGCCCTATAGGATTGAGAGAGAGAGCCATTTGCCTTTAGAGATGACTTTTTCTCACGAAGAAGTCTAATGCAGTATATTAACTGGCCCTAGGAATAGCATAAACACCAGGAATCTAATTAAAATGCCTATAAAGGCACTGTTGTTTGGCTCTTACAGTAGTAAATTTAAATATGTATGTGTTTGCCTGTGTGTTTACACACCTATCCAACATCAATGGTTAGGATTTAGGACCAAGGAGATTAACCAAAAGCATAACACCTTTTTTCAGGTTCGAGAAAACAAGTATACCTATGAATTTGATTTTTCAAAAGTCTATTGGAATCCCCGTCTGTCTACAGAACACAGCCGTATCACAGAGCTTCTCAAGCCTGGGGATGTCCTATTTGATGTTTTTGCTGGGGTTGGGCCCTTTGCCATTCCAGTAGCAAAGAAAAACTGCACTGTATTTGCCAATGATCTCAATCCTGAATCTCACAAATGGCTGTTGCACAACTGTAAATTAAATAAAGTGGACCAAAAGGTGAAAATCTTCAACTTGGATGGGAAAGACTTCCTCCAAGGACCAGTCAAAGAAGAGTTAATGCAGCTGCTGGGTCTGTCAAAAGAAAGAAAACCCTCTGTGCACATTGTCATGAACTTGCCAGCAAAAGCTATAGAGTTTCTTAGTGCTTTCAAATGGCTTTTAGATGGACAGCCATGCAGCAATGAGTTCCTTCCCATAGTGCACTGTTACAGCTTTTCCAAAGATGCTAACCCTGCTGAGGATGTTCGGCAAAGGGCTGGAGCTGTGTTAGGCATTTCTCTGGAGGCATGCAGTTCAGTTCACCTGGTAAGAAATGTGGCCCCAAACAAGGAAATGCTGTGCATCAGCTTTCAGATTCCTGCTGCTGTACTCTACAAGAACCAGACCAAAAATCCAGGTGAGCAGTTTCTGGGAAATTAGATGTAAACCTTACTGTTCAATTGTGACTAGTTCTCCCAGTTTTACAAATTTTAATGCAGTATTAGTTCAGTCTAATACAAAGCTACTCTGTTCAGTCTTAACAGAAGGCTATTTCATTAAAATAGTAAATCTGCAAGAATGTTATTTCATGTCTAAGTTGACTAGATTAAAAATGCCTATATTGTTTGTTTTTTTTAAGAGTATTTTCAACTGCTAATATCTTACCTAAAATAGGTTTTCTGGATTTGTTACAGAGAATCATGAAGATCCACCTCTTAAACGGCAGAGGACAGCTGAAGCCTTTTCAGACGAAAAAACACAAATTGCTTCAAACACTTAATTGGAAATGTTTTCTCCATCTCCCTACCAGACTTACATGTAGTGAAATATAATGTGTATTATTTAATAAAATTTTAGTGTTCAGTTTTTACTATTGAACCCTTATACTTTGCCTTATTTTATAAATTGAGGATTACCAATTAAACTTTAAGTCTACCAAACACATTCCCTATTATCTAAATTAGAATATACAATTATTTTATAACATATCTAAATTTTATTATAAATGAATAAATATTTTCTCTCAGGGAAAATCATTTTTGAAGGCAGGGTGATTGAGTACTGACTAGGAAGGTACTAACACCACTTTATAGTTGTCCTTTACATAACTACTCCTTTACTGCCGATTAACTATCACCGTAAAAGTAATAAAAAATGGAATTATTTAGAACAGGGCAGGCAAACTACATCCTGCAGGCCAAATCTGGCCCACCACCTGTTTTCATATGGCCTGTGGCCTAATAATGTTCTTACATTTTCCATTGGTTGAAAAATAAAAGAACATTTTGTGACATGTGAAAATTGTATGACATCTATTATGTATCAGTTTTAAAAATTAAAAATTGTAAGAAATTGAGTTTCAGAGTTCATAAAGTTTGATTGGAACATACCATGCTCATTTGTTTACATATCATCTGCTGCTGCTTTTTGTTTTTAATATGGAACGCTTCATGAATTTGCGTGTCATCCTTGCGCAGGGACCATGCTGATCTCTGTACCATTCCAGTTTTTTAGTATATGTGCTGCTGAAGTGAGGACTGCAGCTGCTTTCTTGAACAACAGCAGAGTTGAGTGTGGTTGCAACACACACTGAATGTTACTGTCATCACTTCACACTGCTGTTTGGCACATCACAAATCACTGACGTGGTTGTAACAACAGCATTTTGAGTGCCATGTATATCACGTGAACCCACATTTTATTTTCTATTACCAGAACATATCTATTATAGCAAAACAAGAAAAGTGGACTTTGTTGTACTTTTAAGGTACAGTAGGGTATGAATTATTTTAATGTTGAATTCGATGACAAAGCATCTATAGCTAAGCTAAAAGAATAAAATAACCATTGACATTACTAAACAAACCACTCATCACAGTATTCCCAACTCACAGGCAAGCAACTGTCAGAAAAATTAGAAAATGTAAAATGGAAATATCAAAGCAGAATTTCTTCACAAAATGAAAATGAGACTGCAACCAAAGTAAGTAAGTGAATCAGTTGTTAGCCAAGCAAAGAAAGCCATTTATTGATGGTGTGAATTAATTATGTTTGGATGCAGCAGCTCAATATGTCCAGAGAAAAAAAACTTAAGATTACTGGCCTTTGGCAAGAACAGTTGCTCAAAGAGTTAAGGACATTGAAAGCAACATAAATAGTCACTTAAAAAAGGAAATGATTCTGGATGGTTCTTTGACTCTATTTTTATTTTTACTTAGAAACAGGGTCTTGCTCTGTTGCCCAGGTTCAAGTGTAGAGACGCAGTCACAGCTCAATGTAGCCTTGAACTCCTAGGCTTGAGATCTTCCCATCTCGGCTTCCCAAAGTGTTAGAGTTACAGGCGTGAGCACTTACATGTGGCCCTCGTGAATGGTTCAGCACCATCCCCTTGGTGGTGTCCTTACAATGAGTTATGAGATCTGGTTGTTTAAAAGTATGTATCACTCGCCCCCCACACATTCTTGCTCCTGCCTTCGCCATGTGAAGTGCCTGCTCCTATTTTGCCTTCTGCCATGAGTAAAAGCTTCCTGAGGCCTCCCCAGAAGCAGATGACAGTGCTATGCTTCCTATAGCCTGCAGAACCGTGAGCCAATTACACCTCTTTTCTTATAAATTACCCAGTATCAGGTATTTCTTTATAGCAATGCAAGAATGGCCTAAAACACAAGGCAAAACAACTTTAATATGAAACATACCATGATACAGTCATTTTGACAATCGATATTTGAATCACAATATTTGAAGTACTATATCCTTACACATTTGTCATACTATCAAAAGTTAAAACAAGAAACAAGATTTCCATTCTCACAGATTGTAGTGAATATCTTTTCTGAGTTCAGCATTTTTAGGAACCTGGGTGCAAGTGCAAAGGAAATTTCCCTATTTCAAAATCTATTTAACTGCAATTGAGGCGTTTCAACCTAATTTTCGGTAAGAAGTGATTAAAATAATGACATGCTAAAAGGCAAATTTCAAGGGAAGAAATCTAACAGAATTTTACAAATGCTTTTCAAGTGATGAATATACTCAGTTAATTTCATCTGCTCCTGGATTGATAGCAGTATTTGGCAATACCTGTCTGTATGAGAAGACATTTTTAAAGATGAAATGTGTAAAATCTCATTACCATTAGTATTAATGGTTAATGATAACCATTAATAGGCAGTAATTTACAAATGATTTTGATCACAGGGAACACTTACTTAGAACCCTAATTAAAGGCAATGTTATTCTCACCAAAAAAGGCATTACAAAATATTGGACTATATTTTGAATGTTGTCAAAAAGTGTAGGAGCAGCGTGAAGAAGAGGCAAGAATGATACCCCTGGACCGACCAAAGCCCGCGCGCTGCTGCGTCCCGCACCCAGCACCCACATCCCGCTGCCGTTGCCACCGCCACCATGCCCAAGAGAAAGACTGAAGGGGATGCTAAAGGAGATAAAGCCAAGGTGAAGGACGAACCACAGAGAACATCCGCGAGGTTGTCTGCTAAACCTGCTCTTCCATGGCCAGAGCCCAAGCCTAAAAAGGCCCCTGCAAAGAAGGGAGAAGTACGCAAAGGGAAAAAGGGAAAAGCTGATGCTGCCAAGGAGGGGGAAGGTGCTGGAGATCCCAGGTGAACTGTGTGCATTTTTGATAGCTGTGTACTTCTGGTGACTGTACGGTTTGAAATACTATTCTTTATCAAGTTTTATAAAAACGCAGAATTTTAACTTTTTTAAGCTATGTTGTTAGCACACAGAACACTTCATTGTTGTTTTGTGGGGAAGGGGCATATGTCACTAATAGAATGTCTCTGAAGCTGAACTGATGTGGGGAAAACACCTTTCCCTTCTAGTTTTGAGAGACTTCCTCTTGGCTCCCAGGAGGAGGGATTCCCTGACTTTGACACACATGGCCACCTTGGCACAAAAGCCTTATGGTATGGAAAAACAAATCGTTTTTATGTCTTCTTTTCCCTTTCCATCTTTCAGCATAGACTTAACTCCCTTAAGCCCAGACATCTGTTGGGACCTGACCCCCAGTCATTGGTTACCAGTGTGTCTGGCAATCTGGACTTTCCAGTGATGCCACTGAGATGGCACCTGTCAAAAGAGGAGTGGTTTCGTTTCTAGATTGTGGATCTTCAGATAAATCCTGCCATTTTCATTTCACTTCCTGAAAGTCAGGGTTGGCTTGTGAAAAGTTGTTAAACAACATGCTAAATGTGAAATGTCAACTGTCACTCTAACCTTTCCCTGTTCAGAGCATCAGATGAAGACTTCATTGGGTTTTATAGTGGCTGATTTTTGATAGTCCATTGAAGAAGAGAATTTGAAAGTTGTTGTATACTGTTAATGACTGTATGCCCATGTCCTGCCTGAAATACCATGATTGTTTATGGAAAGTATCTTTAATAAAGCTGGATACAGTTTGAAAGAAAAAAAAAGTGTGGCAATTTGTTTTAGCTTGTTCTGTAAGTACCTACATAATATCCTCGATTTTGCTTGTTACCCTGCAAAGCCTAAAATATTTACTATCTGGCCCTACAGAAAATGTTTAAGAACCCTAATCTAGATCATTAATTCCAAATTCAAATGCTTTCAGAAGTCTGGCAGGTCCTGTAAAGAAATGAAGGCAATAAATAGTAAGCAGTATAGGGATGTAATGAACTTGAGCACTCATTCCTTACTTAATTCAAATTGTTTTGAAACAACCGAAGTGTTGTACATTGATGTCCTAGGTTATAAAGTATGAGTACAAATGATGTTCTTATTCATACATGTAAAGTAGTAAGACTCTTGTCTCCATTTAGTTACTCTGGACAAAATATGCAATATGTAATTGTAAAGAAAACAGAATCCCTGAATGTATCTACTAACTTTTTAACTTCCCCCTTTTCTTTCAGAGTGGATAAGTGAATATGTGATTATTCATTATTTAAATCTAGGTCTACCCTAAACTTTCAGATATGATACCTAGTACATGAATTCCTGATGAATCTACTCGAAAATGACAGCTGGAAAGCTGGAAAGCTCATTAGATACAATTTTTAATTTTGTTAACTTTTTGACAGGTTTTCTACCACCTTAATTGGATTTTAAAATAATTATCTGACAACCTGTTGACAGCCTAAAGACAACTTCTAAGAGAAGCATAGGTGAAATATTCATTGAATCAAATTAAGGAATACTAAGTAATCATGTATACTAACTGATGTAAATGTATTCTGTACCATTAATATCTGCTTAAGAGGGAGTATAGTTATTAGTAAAATCATTTTCTACATCATGAATTTCTCAGAACTTCTCTTAGGACGTTAACAAGATCATTTAGTTGATGTCATTTATATCCCATAAAAGATCTAGATACTTGATCTGTAGAACTTCCTGGAAGTCTTATGAAGTTTGACTACCCAGGACTAGTTTTAGCATAGCAGTTGTTTGACAGTCATCTCTAGAGCATGGCTTCTGGAGTCTGGCTGCCTGAGTTCAAATCCCAGCTCTGCTATTTTTAAGTTATATGACTGTTGGCAACTTACCTAACCTCTGTCTCAGCTTCCTCATCTGTTAAAATGGAGAAAATACTAGTAGAACTGTTTTGAGGATTAGGTAATACACAAAGCATGAAGCACAGTGCCTGGGACACAGGTAATACGGTAGTTGTTAACTGTTACTTCTGTACTCATAAAATACTTGAAGACTTATGTAGATGAAAGATATGTACAGCCTTTGTCTCTGAGAGTAAATCACTCGGATGGTAGGGGATAAGCACATCAATTTAGAATGTTTCTGTTGTTTAGTAGATTCAGTGAATTCACTAAACCTCAGTAAATTGTCACTAAGTTATTTTTCACCATTCCCTTTGATCAAATAAGGTCAGTTAACTTCTAAATTTGGCCTATGGAACTAAGTACAGCAATAGCAACTGCAAAATATTTACAAATGTATAAAAGTTTTGGAATTTATTTGCCAAACCAGGTGCATGCAATTTGCACAATAAGGCAGGCTCAAAACAAATCTTAAAAGCCTTTGATACATTTTATTAATTAGTTCATTCTTTTTAAAATACATTTATAAAAGGTATGAGAACAAGCAGTAGTGTTTCTTTTCAAAATATTGGATTCCTAATTTTTGCAATTGGCTGCTGCAAAGCCTTAACTCTACATTCAATGTTCTAACTATTCTTTGAAGAGATTTATAGACTGTACTTAAAACACTAATCCTCAGTTGGGAATACCTAATAGATACAGGAATAGGATATGCAGTCTGGTAGAATGTAGATGGAATTGGACTTCGATTAAAAAAAAAAAATCTGTATTCTAATTCTGGCTTTTTACTAACTTGTGATTATGATCTTTGTCTACTCAATTATTTGATGCCTTGGTTTTCTCATTTATCAGAGATAATTAGAAGTACAATAAAGTTGAAGATATATTGCTAAAATTAATTAATACCTGCTTAGTAACATAAGATGGAGTTGTTACATATGGATAGTCCATCCTAATGTAACCACAAGTGTTGTTTCACCTAAGTTTCTACCCATAAAACTAGTATCTGTTGTATTAGAGATTTGATAGGAAATCCCTTAATTTCCTTAAGAAACTATATCCCATATCCAATGCTCTGTGTAACAGACTCATACAAGGTTGAGATGCTGCAAATAGCATCCTATTCATATCTAAACTCTTTAAGCAAAACCCTGGTAATAAAAGCCTTTGAAGTTTCAACAAAAAACTGTATCAGTATACAATTTATACATGGGGAACTGTACTTAAAATGTACCTTCTCCAGTCTCCAAAGGATTCATCATAAAATGAGCTTACATTGGAGGTGAAACGTGTCATTTAAGTATTAAATTTTATTAACTTACTTCTTTGAATGTGTCATTAAAGCAGGTTAATGCTGGGCTCTGTTTTATCCTGAGTGTGGCTCACAGCTGGGAACTATAACACCTTGATCAAGGTTTGCCTCATTTTCCACTGCTTAAAACAGGCATTGAGTTCTTAGTATTGAGGGAATGACATTATCATGGGTCAGGTTTTTCTTGCCATAACTTGGTCAAAGGAAATATATCCACTTGTCTGGACTAGTATTAACAAGACATTAGGAAAAGGGGGAACATTTTATGAGAAGAAATAATAGAGTTGGATATTAACAGTAAATGTTGTAATCAAAATGGTATTTAAAATGTGTTCAAGTAAAACACTGTAATAAGAGAAAAACCACAGAACTTAATATAAATTATAGCTTTATTTTTTAAAAAGATTTTATAAGTCTGTCAACCTCAAACACATATAAGTGATTTATTTATTCCTCTCTTCCATCAGATGAGGCTTATTGTGTCAAATCCTCTGAAAAATATAAGTAAAAATTCTTTTTCACAAACATATATCCCCTATATTCCTCAAGTTAGTTCTGAAATTTTCTCTTTATAAATACTTTAACACAGCTGCTAGTGGTAGGACTGTGTTGTGCAGCTGCATATAGCTATAATTTTACAAGTCTGCTTTACTTTTGCTAGCTCACTGGTTCAGCTCCAAGGTCCAAATCTTATAAATGGTTAACTGGGCTGCCAGAAAAGCCCACTGAATGCATCCTGTAGTGCTCTGTGACAAGCAAGAGAAGAAGTATAACCTCCAGCAAGGTCTTGTGGTGAGGCAGCTCTGACATGGTTTAAATACCTAAAACAAAACAAGAAGTGTAGCATTGATATAAAAAGCAAATATAAATTGGTAACATTTTAAAAAGCAATAGTAAAGCTGATTCAAGTTTTAAAGAGGAATTCCGAGATCGAAATATTCAGACTTTTGTTATAAATAATTATCTTTCAAAAGGAAACATGCCAACTGTACATGGAGTGCCTAAACTAGTACTAAATTACATAGCAAATTACCACGGGATCTAAAAACAGTTCTGAAAGAGGTTTCAAAAATAATTCTAAAATATTCACTGCTTCACAATTTTCAGAGCTGATTCGTTTTGTTGGCTGATTTTTGGACACCTAACTAATGCTCTCCTTCCTGGCATATGCTAAGAAATAAACAGTATCACAATACTATTATATTACTGATATATCTACATAAATGTGTTTTAAATCAAGCCCTAAATACCTAAACAAATGGAAGAGAGGAGAAAACATATGAGTTACTTCAAAAGTACTTCAATATCCCAAGAATATACTGTCTCATTCCTTAGAGGAAAGGAAACATTAGAAAATTACATGTTGAAGAAATCTCTGAGACTGAGCCTGAGTTCAAAATAATGTCTGAAAAAGTAAATACAGAAAAGTCTCATTGATCTCAAAGAACAATATAACAGTACAATTTTTTTCTGCAACCACACACAATTTTTGTTTTTTAAAGCAATTAAACCTTTCTACCTTGACAAAACAGGACTAAAAAAAAAATTGGGCAATCTAGCCAAAGAGGGACAAGTTAGCATGACTACTAACACTTCTGGAAACAAATAATTCCAGCTTTGTTTTAATGCTTAGTTTAAGAAACTACCTTGATTCTTCAGGAAGTAAAGGAGCTTCACCCACCTTAGAATTACTGGTATGCCAAATGAATAAATCAGGTACCAGAACATTTTAATAACTTGGAACCTTTTTCACTCATTCATTCAAACTTCCTGTGTGTCAAAATCTTAATGCATGAGCAACTTAAAACTTCTAACATAACAACAAGTCTGTTTTTCATTTGTATCCATGTTTAATAAACCTGTGTAACTAAAACATATAGAGCAATATAAGAGTCCAATAGAAAAAAATGGGTCAAGGTAGGATGCAGCTAAGTTCCTGGAATTAGCTATAATTTATTAACACTGCCACAAAGGTTTTAACTCAATCCTTTGCTTCTCTGCCAAGGGTGAAAGAGGAAAGTGGAAAGAAGAAGAGAATTAATATATATTGAACAAAAAAACATTTTTGATAGTATTTTATATATATAATTTTACTATATATTTATAATATACTATACTATATATAGTAAATTTATGTTATAAACACTATACATTTACTATATATAGTATTTTACTATATATAGTTATATACATAAGATACTAATATAGTAAGTGTAGTATAAAAATATAAATAGAAAAAGGATGAAATAAAAGTATTTAAATAAAAGTTCTGGGTGGGTGCGGTAGCTCACGCCTGTATGTAACCCAGCACTTTGGGAGGCCAAGGTGGGCGGATCATCTGAAGTCAGAAGTTCAAGACCAGCCTGGCCAACATGGCAAAACCCCATCTCTACTAAAAATACAAAAACTTAGCCAGGCATGGTGGCACATGTCTGTAATCCCAGCTACTCAGGAAGCTGAGGCAGGACAATCACTTGAACCTAGGAGGTGGAGGTTGCAGTGAGCCAAGATTTTGCCACTGCACTCTAGCCTGGGTGACAGAGTGAGACTCTGTCTCTAAATAAATTAATGAATGTTTTAATATTTTTTCCCTATACTGCATCTTACATACCCTCCTGGGACACATCCCACTTTGGAGACTACTGTTACAAATTAGTCATTGTTGTCTGGGTGCAGTGGCGCACGCCTGTGATCCCAGCACTCTGGGAAGCCGAGGTGGGTGGATAACCTGAGGACAGGAGTTTGAGACCAGCCTGGCCAACATGGTGAAACCCTGTCTCTACTAAAAATAGAAAAAGTAGCCAGGCATGGTGGCAGGTGCCTGTAATCCCAGCTACTCGGGAGACAAGAGAATCGCTTCAGTCTGGGAGGCAGAGGTTGCAGTAAGCGGAGATCGCACCACTGCACTCCAGCCTGGGCAACAGAGTGATAGCCTGTTTTTTTTTTGTTGTTGTTGTTTTTTTTTAAAAAAAAAAAAAAAGGTCGTTGTTAAATTCTTGATAGAACCTTAGGTTGCATAGGATTTAAATACAGATTTACCACACCTACCCCATGGCCATAAAGTTATCTGCTTATTAGTTTCCAAGACACAATAAAATATCAACTGTTAAGATTCTGATGCATGAGAAATGAAGTAAATGTTAAGTTACCTCAGAAAGGTCTAAAAATTAACCTGGCTTCACAGGGAATTCAGTAACTATCATACAAATAATAAGTGAGTAATATTTTTATAGGTAACTTGGAAATGAAATGTTCCATTCCTGATACAAATTTCCAGCTAATTTTTATCCGCACACCAGATGATGATGTATCACCCTTTCCTTTCCTCTGATCCTCAAAAGAAAAGCATAGTCTTAGCCTCAATAGATGTTCACTTATGGTAAAATTCAAGCACCACAGTAGAATGTTTGTCAACCTTGAAAAGCCAACCATCATAAATGAGAATTGGTTTTCATAGCTGTAATACAAACCACTGTGCAACTAACTGTTTTGATTCATCACATTTTGGTACAGCTTGCTTCTGGGAAAGTTGAGTCATACCATATCTGGCTTGGCAATTTGAGCATAAACTTGCAGTGTGCATACAGCTTTTTATATGTTATCCTGAGAAACCTGAAACAGCTGCACTGCTGGCAGGAAAACAGAGGACCACCAGTAAAATATTCAAAACAGTTGCATCTTTTAATTTATGGCCGTGTTTCCATAAAGAGTATATAAAACAGTTCAGCTTTATAGGTAAAATGTTATAAACAGTCATACTCGTTGATGCCATAAATGTGTAAAAAAAGTTATCTAAATGATTAGTGTTTGAAAATAGTATTTCTTGAACATAGTCATAATCCAGAGTATGAGCAAATATTTTTAAGTTTGACTTATTAATGCTAAGTTGTACAATTCTCACTGCCAAAACCAAGTCAATTAAAATTTCTTTGCATAGCACTAAAGAAAATAACCTTCCCTTCTAGCAATCACTTACATTAAACATGTCTGTGAGTATGAGTTGTTAAGAGTCCTGCTTATTTACTTTGCTGTTTTTGATCTCTAGGGCTGCACAAAACTGTTACTGTGAAGTATTTCAAACTCTTTTCACCATGGCAACCTACATTAATGCCAATAAAAAATAAAACAAAGTTCATTTTTGTTATTCAATTGTGGGCTTTTATTTTTTAAGTATCTTAACTCAATGTTCTTAAACCCTTTATTTTTTGTAGCATGTCAAAGTATTTTAAAGAATCTGCTACACTGAAACAGCATAATGAAAATTTAGTGGTTTCTGTACTTTTCTACCTTAATCCACATCTGTGTTTTTATTCTTTCACGACCATTACAAGTACATCACTGAATAGGATTCCTGGGGTTTCTGGCAGAAGTCAGTATCATTTCATGTATACCTTTATAAAACAGAATGAGGAAGAAGTCTTAGCCAAATTTATTTCCAAAAGTCAAGCTCGGTTGGGTTTGGGAGCCTGGAGGTAATTGCTCTGACTATTTAGCCAATCCCATGACACTACTCCTGTTTTTCATGGGTTTATTTTAAATATGTGTAAATCTTATAAGCAGAAACCAGGAAAGTAAAAACGAGGTTTGCTTATTTTGGTACCTACACCTTATTTTTACTGAAAGCAGACTAAACTCAAAGACTTAAAAAATCATACCTTTGATTATTTTCTTAATAAGGTCAAAAAAAGTATGTTTTCGAAAGCATGTCTAAGATAATTCTTGTACAAAGGACATCTTATGCCCTAATTTATGCTCTGTCTAAAGCTGCCTTCCTATCCCATCAAAATCCCTTTCAAACAAACCTTGGAGAAGGGGGAGGGAAAAGGAGCAATGGATCCTGAGAAGGGCGTAAGATAGGATTAAGCCTTAGAAAACTACACTTGAAGGTTTGTTCCTGAATTTTGATTTCCTACACTGTCATTTTCTTGTGTTATATTTTGCAGCTTTTGCTCCCAAAGAAAGTGGTACAATTTACACTTACCTTCAGAAAGACTTCATTTTCTTAGTTCTTTAACATAGGAGTGCCTCTGAGATTACTCTTTTCCTATTTCCCTTCCCTTAAAAGCCCTATATTGACCATCTGGCTGAAGTCTTGGACTCAGCTCATTTTAGCGTTATTTAACAATGCTTTGAGTTCTCAGCTAGGGGCAGAGGGCAGGGCTTGTCACTCAAGACCAAGAGGCAAGCACTCTTCCTGTCCAGTCACAATATGTTTGTGACAATCCCTAAAGCACATTGGCTTGGAATTTATATTGAAATGAAATGTAAAGTTCACACTAGTTTCCTCCACCTCAAATTACCAGGCCCTATGGAGAGTTAAAAACTTGGACTGGTTCAAACTAAGAAAGGTAGTGAACTCTAGAGACTAAGACTTTCTTTTTACAAGGTGGCCCGTTTTTTAAAGTCTGCATTTAAAGCCATCAGGCATTAAACAGACCACTTCCAAACAGATCTGTGTCCTAGCCCACAAAATTCAAATCTAACTGCCATTAAGAGAGATCAGCCAGCTGATCTCAGCTATCAAGACCCACAGCTCTTATAGGAAGTTCAGCCAAAGCTATAAAAATTTACATTAACAACCTGAAGTCTACCTCAGTGAGATTTAAAAACAACCAGAGCAATAGTGTGCTCACACAACTATCACTAAAAAGCAAAAACATTCTGAAAACTAGTTAATGGTTAGGTGTCTTAACCTAAGCACAGTACCAAAATAATAGACAAACTGTTTACAGAGTGGTAATCATATATTCTAAGGTAAATGAGAAAAGATACTACATGTCAGAAATACTATTCACAATTCTGAGGGCAACTTTGTTATAAA